AATAAATAATCGAAAAGTGAGAAAAAATATACCTAAAATTAAGGAGAAAAATCAGCGGAACACCTTAAAATATGATCCAACGCGTGAAGAAAATGGTAGAATTACTGACTGTATACAGAATTTCAGCAACAGGAATCCAATCTCAAGCAAAACCCACAATCATCAAATAATAAATAAATGAAAAATTAAAGAATTTAACGATTACTTCTTCTTTGTAGAGGGTTAAACTGGAAAAAATGGTGGTTGAAGAAGAAAGAGGAAAAGAAAGTGTAGAGTAATTGTAAATTATAATGCGAATAGCAGAAGAAGAAGAAGAAGATTGGTTGACTAAGAAAATACTTGTATACTTCTCGTCCAAAAAAAAAAAAAAGAAATACTAGTATACGTACAGACTTACAGTCATGATATGATTGAATGCTGATGGGGCCAGTCTCTCTCCTCTTTGATTTTTTTTTTTTTTTTTTTTTTTGTGGTGTGGGGTAGGGGTGTTAAAAACCGAGTGTCCCGTCCTGATTACCCGATGACCCGCAAAAAAACTGATGGGAAATTGACAAATTTTTTTGATTTTTTGGGGTCGGGTAACCGTCCCGCTAAAATAGCATTTTCGTGGGCCGGGACATGGGACATGATTTGCTAATCTCGGGTACCCGAATACCCGTTAAACAAAAAATTAATAAATAAATTCGTGTATTTCTCTTTTAATCACTGAGCCATTTTTCTAGGTTATCAGCCTTGAACTATCTACTGGTATTCCCATGCTTTACATTTTCAAAGAAGGAAAGTTCATGAGAAGAGGAAGCCCTGCAGGACCCACTGAGGCAAGTGTCTATGCTTACACAGAGGTATACTATTCTGCATTTGTTTAGCATTTTGGTTCTCTTGGCTGGTTTCAGCTTACATTCTTCTTAATATAAAATTGTCCCAAGTAACTGAAATGTAGCATTGTAGCTGCACTTTTATTACACCGAAAAGCGCTAGAAATGTGATTAAAATAAACTTATTTAATTAAAATCCGGGTACCCGTGTCCCGTCCATGATAATCCGGGTACCCGTGTCCCGTCCATGATAATTCGGGTACCCGAATACCGGGTACCCGAATTATCCGGGATGGGACACGGGCCGACTTATCAACTATCCGAAGATTCGGGTACCCGAATATCCGGGTACCCGGATGTGAACACCCCTAGTGTGGGGGAACGGGTTGGCCAATTTTGAAGGTGGGCACGGGCCGTTGCCTTATAACGGGCCAAAAAAGCCATGTTGAGATGAGGCTATATGGTCTGGCCCACATATCGTATCATATCAGGTCATACCGTATTATCGTCTATATATTTCATGAAAAATTGCTAAGAAAAAGATGATAAAAACACATGCTAGTTTGGATGTAAACTCATCTAAGTGTGTAACTTTTGAAAATGATTTCCATGCAGTGGCAGATACAATTAAGACCAAGGGTATGCAAGTTCATATCCTTGGTGGAAATAAAATTTAGCTTTTCTTTATTAAAAAATATAAAAATACATATATACACCATGAGACTCTTGTATATGAGACGCGAAATACTCAGTACATATTATCATGCTACAATATGAGACTATTTTTTTGAATTATGTGACTGATTTATCGTGTTTTAATGCTACCACATGTAATTTATACACTATTATAATTGTGCATACCGTGTTCTAAAATCCTGGATACGCTATTGTTTCCGTGCACAATCTAAGGCCCACTAGCATGCTTCGTGCTCGTGTTGGGCTTGTGACGACTGCGTGTTGAATTTAGCCATTTTTGTAAAGTGTTAATTTAGTTTGTTCATGTCCACCTGTACCCATGTTATTTAAACGGAGTAATAGTAAATAAACGTTTTTTGTTTATCATAAAGATAAACTTGAATTATCTCTTCTTTTTCTAGAAGTTTTTCTTTCTATATTTAACTTGAGTTAGATCCCACACTAACCCACCTACTTTTTCTTTTTTTACTTTTTCACTTGCATAAAATCATGTGCAAATGACTAAACCAAGTACAAATAAAAAGTACTTTCTCCTTTCTTTTTATCGTAATGTTTGGAATTATACTATTCGCATATACTCATTTGACCGTTTTTTTTTTACATATGGTAAAACATGGGCATTGATATATGCTTCTAAAAATTTAACTTTTTAGTCATGTGTGTCAATAGATAAATTCAACTATTAATATATTTAATTACCGGTATGCAAGTATAATAAAAGTTGATATATTGAAAGTATATATTGTGACGAATCTAATAAGGTCCCACATAACTATATTTTTCATTACGTATAAATACAAAACACGGTCAAAGGGAAATGGTGCTAAAGTCAAAACGTGTCAACTAAAAAAATGGAGGCAGTATAATTTAATACTTTTTACTAAAACATAGTTAAATGTAGGAAAAATTAGTTCCATAAATCTCAACTTAAGCCAATTTACTAATATTAATCCGTCCTAGATGACCAGTTACATGATGAATAGATAACCTTTTTTTAATTACTTTTCCTTTTGACTACCAATGTCATTCTTTGACCACCCCTAAGACCGCCACAAACAAGTTTATTTGTGGCGAGGGAAGGGAAAAGAGGGAATATCAATGGTGGGGAAGAGGGAAGGGGTTTTCTATTATAGGGGAGGGTAAGAGTGTGGATTTCAGTGGTGAGGGAATTGGAGAGGGGGGTTTTCGGTGGTGGGAGAGGAAAAGGGGGTGGTTTTACGGTGGAAGGGAGGGAGAGGGATTTCTTTATGTTAGTGGAGGCCAGAGAGAAGAGGGGTGGTGTGGAGGGAAATAGGGTGCTTTTCGATGGTGAAGGAGGGAAGGGGGTGCTTTTTCGATGGATCTAAGAAAGCGAATATTCCAAAAGTTCGAATTATTATTAGAAGATAATATAATTTGGGATTAGTAAAAGCAAACCAGCCAAATTTGAAATTTATACAACCAATTTTTTCTTAAATAAAATAACAAAATAAATGTGCATGACCAAGCGTGAAATTCCAACTTTGCAAATAAAAAGAACGGAGGAAATACAACACATTGATTTACTACATTACAATATTTCAATTACACCC